ACTTTGCCCAGGCTGGCTGCAGCCACAGGGGACTGTGCGTGGGTGGCTTCACCTGGGCCGCAGCCGCAGACACCCGGGGCCATGGGGCAGGTGGCTTGTCCCTCTTCTGGACCGCAAGCACATCTGCTGGCGCCCGAGACCACAGGGACCATGGATTGTGTAGATTGTCCCTCTCCCAGGGCGCAGACCCAGGTGCAGCCGCTGGCAACCAGGACCATGGGGTAGACTGTTTGTCCCTCTTGTGGGCTGCAGCCTGGCTGGTCCCCATTCTTCTCTCGAGAGCTCATTTGTGCCTGGCTTGTCCCCATTCCTCTTGTGAGCTCATTTATGCGTGGCTGGTCCCCATTTCACCCAGTATTGAGTGTCTGAGCATTTATGTGATGGCATGAGGGCATAACTATATGAGGGCATGATGACCATTTGAATATTAGCTCTTTATTATATAGAATAATTAACTCTCAAAATGCTACACGTTTCTTATTTACAACATTGATGCCCCATTCCCTCCCGCACCCTGACATGGATGTTGATGCAACTTATGTGTGTTCTTCCTGAACCTTCTATGATGTTTAAATTGTTTAATCTGTCAAACTAAAAAGTTCAACATCTTTTAAAAAATGTGACATCACCACCATAACATGTAATCTCCAGGAGCACCTGCCTGCAATTTTTATTTATTTAGGGAGTTACATAGGTGATGAGGAAATTGTTAATTATCTTTCCGTTTCCTGGGAAGCGAAGGTTACATCTTGCAGAGGTAGTTTTGAGGAAAAATGTCCTTATGACTTGAGCCATGGTTCTACCAATAATTAAAAGATAGAAAGAAAAAAAAAAAAAGAGAGAGAGCGAGGGAGAGAAAGAAACTGTTACAGTGTAATTCAGATCATTTTAAAAAGCAAAATCAAGTGCAATTTTGTTTACAAATGGTATATATTAAAGATTTTTCTATTTCAGATGTACTTTAGAGAAAAATATTAGCTTAACTCTTTTGACATCTGCTATTGTGACACATCCCGTTGCTGGCAATGTGGTGCACACTCCAGAACTTTTAACTACTGTTTTGTAAGCCTCAAGGCAACATTGCAGACTCCAGACAGAGCTTTGTTTGCCTTCATTCACTGGGTGTTGCACTAGATGTAGCGAGGCACTCCGTCTAAGTGCTTGTGAATGAGCACCCTGTTAGAAACTCTGATTCTTCAAAAGCAGGAGCTAACACAAAGGAGACCGCTCCTTCTGGTTTAAGTTTTGCTGCATGAAGTAGTGTGGAAACCCTGGACTGCTGCTCATTCTTTAGGGTAACTGGTTCTTGTATCTGGTGTTGGTAAGAGACTGTTTATAAGAGACATCACAAGGTGATGGGATTCATTTGAAGCACTCTATTTCTGTTTTAATGGTTTTATCTACTTTTGCCTTTCAAGAGTTTTGTTCTACATAGAAAGTTCATGCCGTTTTTTAATATAAAAAATTTTAACAAAAAAAAAAAAAAAAAAAAAAAAAAAAAAAAAAACTAAAAAAGCAATCCTATTTACCATTGCAACAACAACAAAAAACACGACACCTAGGAATAAACTTAATCAAGAAGGCAAAAGACCTATACTTGGAAAACTATAGGACATTGAAAAAAGAAAAAACAGAAGATACAAACAAGTGGAAGAGTATATTGTATTCAGGGATTATAAAATTAACATAATTAAAATGTCCGTATTACCCAAAACAATCTATAAACTTAATATAGTCCCCATTAAAATACCAATGTCATTCTTTACAGAGCTAGAACTCCAAAAATTTACATGGAACCATAAAAGACCCAAAAACCTGTAGCAATCTTGAGAAAGAAAAACGAACTAAGAGAGATCACAATACCAGATATCAAACTATACTACAAAGCCATTATAACCAAAACATCCTGGTACTGGCACAAGAACAGGCATATAGGCTAATGGATCAGAACAGAGACCAAGAAATTGACAAACCATTACAATCAATTAATATTTGACAAAAGAGGCAAGGACATATAATAAAGACAGTCTCTTCAACAAATGGTGCTGGGAAAACTGGACAGATTCATGCAAAAAGATGAAGCTAGACCACCAACTTACACCATAAAAAAGAATAAACTCAAGGTGTATAAAAGACTTAAATGTAAGGCATGAAACCAGAAAAATCTTAGAGAGCATAGGTAGTAAAATCTCAGACATGTCACGTAGCAATATTTTTACTGATATAGCTCCTAGGGCAAAGGAAACTAAGGAAAAAAATAAACAAATGGAACTACATAAAAATAAAATGCTTCTGCATGGCAAAAGAAACCACCATCAAAATGAAAAGAGAACTCTCTGTATGGGAGAATATATTTGCCAAGGATACATCTAATAAGGGGTTAATATCCAAAATAGATACAGTACTCATACAACTCAACAAAAGGAAGGCAAAGAATCCAATTGAAAAAGTAAGAAGAAGACCTTTATCTTTCTTTGGCTTATTTTGATGGTTGGGGGGGAGGGTAGACTCATATAATGCTTTAAACAATAAAGAATTAAAAAAAAGAAGAAGAAGGTCTAAATAGACATTTCTCCAAAGAGGATATACAAATGGTCAAGAAACATGAAAAAAATGCTCAAACTCACTAATAATCAGAGAAATATAAATTAAAGCCACAATGAGATATCACCTCACACCTGTAAAAATGGCTACCATCAAAAAATCAACACACAACAAATGAAGACAAAGATTTAGATGCAGTGTTTCCCAAACTTTTGACATATGTGTACCCCTTCTATAATTTTCATAACGCTGAGTACCCCTCGTACTCATGAGAACGTAGAATTAGGAACAGCTAAGCACGATGCAGTGCATATCCCCACCAAACTCCGGTGCATCACGTACTCCCACCAAACTCTTCCCGTACCCCTGGAGGTACGTGTACCACACTTTGGGAAACATTGAAAAGGGAAGTCTAGTTCACTGCTGGTAGAAATGCAGATTGGTGCAGCACTATGGAAAATAGTATGGAGTTTCACAAAAAAAATAAAAATGGAACTTCCATTTGACCCAGCAATACCACTTTTGGTAATATATCCTTAAAAAAACCAAAACAATGATCAGAAAGAATACATGCACCCCTGTGTTCATATTTACAATAACTAATATTTTGAAACAGCCCAAGTGCCCAGCAATAGACAAATGAATAAACCTACTGTGGTATATTTACACCATGGAACTGTGCAGCAGTAAAAAAGAAGAATCTCTTACACTTTGAGACAGCATGGAGGGACCTGGAGATTATTAATGCTAAGCAAAATAAGCCAGTCAGACAAAGATAAGTATCACATGATCTCACTATATGTGGAATCTAATTAACAAAACAAACTGATTAATGGAATAGATCCAGAGACATGGAAGCATGTAACAGAGTGTGGAATCTCAGAAGAAGGCATGGGAGGGGGGGTAACCAAAGAACTTGTATGCATATATGCATAACCCATGGACACAGACAATAGGGTGATGAAGTCCTAGAGCAGGAGGCAGGGGCAGGCTGGAGGGGGTTAATGGGGGGAGGGGGAAAAGGGGACATAGGTAATACTTTCAACAATAAAGATATTTTTTTAAAAAATAATAGCTAAGGTTTGGAAACAGCCTAAGTGCCCATCAATAGATGCATGAATAAAAAATAAAAAAAACAACAACTGTAGGACATTTACACTATAGAATACTATGCAACTGTAAAAAAAGAGGGATCTCTTACCCTTTGGGATACCATGGTTGGACGTGTAAAATATTATGTGAAGTGAAATAAGCCAAACTGAGAGAGACAAATATCACATTATTTCACTTATTTGTGGAACCTAATGAATTGGCCTACAAAATGACACCTGAAGCATGGAGGCATGGAACATAACTTGTTATAGGTTGGGGAGACAAGAAGTGAGAAACCAAATAACTTATACACTTAGTGGCCCAGTGCACAAAATTACTGCACTTGGGGTGGGGGGACCCTCAGCCCAGCCTACACCCTCTCACAGTCCAGGAGCACTCAGGGGATGTCCGACTGATGGCTTAGGTCCATCCCCTGTGAGCACAAGCTGTCAGTCAAACATCCTTAGCTGTGAGCCCGGCTTTCTGTATGAGTGGCTCTCCCTCTGTGGGAGCACACTGACCATCAGAGGGCAGCTTCTGCATTGAGTTTCTGCCCCCTGGTGGTCAGTGCATGTCATAACAATTGGTCATTCTGCTGTTCAGTTGATTTGCATATTAGCCTTTTATTATATAGGATATGCCTAGCCCATTGACATGGGCAATAGTGTAATGAAGACCTATGGAGGTAGGGAGCGGCTGGGAGGAAGGAGAAGGAAGGGAGGTGGTGGGAAATGGGAGACACCTATAATACTATCAATAATAAAAATATATATTTTGAAAAATGGCAACAGCCAACATAACAACAAAAAATAAATAAACTGATTAATAAAATAGAAACAGCCATTAATGTTTCATTAATAAAATGAAACAGACTCACAGCTGTCAGATTGAAGAGGGGACCAGGATGTAAAAGGTGATGGGATTAAGCAAAAAACACAAACAAAATCTCATAGATGCAGATGGATTATATATATACTACAGGCCCTATGCACAAAATTCTTGCAAGAGTAGGCCTTCCCTTCCCCTGGCTGCTGGGACCTGGGCTTCCCTCCGGCCACCAGCAGGCACCCAGGACCCGGGCTTCCCTCACAGCCCTGGCTTCATCTAAAAGGTCACCCAGAAGAATGTCCAGTTTAATTAGAATATTATGCTTTTATTATTATAGATAAGCCACCTGAGCTTCAAACCATTTTGTGAGGTATGAATGATAGGGATTATTAGTGTATAGTAATCCCTATAAATAAGATAGATTAAATGATGTTCTAAGTCATCCAACTGTAAGTGGCAGTGGTAGACATTTTACCTAGGTCTGCTATACACAAAACCTCTGCTCCTTTCATTTTTCCCATGTTCTTTCTTTTCAGACCCACTATGGAATAAAGCAATACTGCTTCTCAATTACCCATGCTGCATGAAGCAAGCATTCTGCTCTTTTGGAGATTGTGAAGATTACCAGCTTCCAACAGCTACAAGAAAAGAGACAGGGTATAAGAATTTCTACTCCAAAGCATCCCATCCCATAAGTGTGAAAGGTGAGGCCTGAATTCTTGGAGGGATAAATGAATTTTATCTTCATTCCAGAGAACCAACCTAAATGTTTGAAGAACTTACCATAGGAGCAAGATGAGACTTTGAGAGGGATGTAGAAATCAGCCCAGGAGCCTTAAGTCTTTGCTCTCCTTTTAACTCTGTTTGCTCTTCTATCCCCACTAGCCCTTCTGTATTGTCATTTAATAATTGGAGTGTATGGCAAGAAGGACTGTAAGAAGAGCTAGAAGTGGTTTCATGCAACAGTGAAATCTACACAGTGAATGAAGGGAGAATTAGGTATACAGAAGCATTAGGGGGTTTTGTGGTTTCTGTAAGTGAAAGAAACTGCTAATGCTAATAAAATTTGGATATCTGTCTTATAGGAAGTTTGACAAGGAGTATGGACTGCAGTGACCCATGGGAACTGTGTCCGTATCTAGCTTCTCAACCTGAGCTTTTGTATTCCTGGAGAAGTTTACCCTAAGGATGTTCTGAACGACAGTAGAGGTTGGTAAAAGAATTGTAAAGATGTTTGTAGATCTATTAAAAATATAGTCTAGAATGTAGGCCAGCAAACACAGAGAAGGGAACCAGGAGGGTAAGAGAGATAAGAAGAGGCCTACTATGGTAAGAACAAATATCAATCATCAAACCCATAAGTTTGTCATATTGGAATGACACTCTAACCAACTAAGCTACCTAGCCAGAACAGTACCAGTTCTTTACAAACTCTTCCAAAAAAATAGAAGTTAAGCAGAAACTTTCCAACCCATTATATAAGGCCAATATTACCCTGATACCAAAATCGAACAAAAACATCACACAAAATGAAAAATATAGGCCAATATTTCTTATGAATATAGAGACAAAAATCCTCAATAAAACACTAGCAAACAAAATCCAGAAACATCTAAAAAGAATTATATATAATGATCAATTGGGATTTATACCCAGAATACAAGGTTTACATACCAAGTCAATTAATGTTCTACAATATCAATAAAATAAAAAGTAAAAGGGCATTACTATCACAATAGACAAAGAAAAATCTTTTGGCAAAATAAAATAACCTTTCTTAATAAAAAGCACTCAGCAAATTTGGAATAAAAAAAAAAACACTTTTCAATCTGATACATGGCATTAAAAAAAACTAGCTAACATTGTATGTAATGGTGAAATATTGGATGTTTTCCTTCTAAAATTAGGAACAGGACAAAAATGTCTGCTCTTGCCTTTTCCATTCAATATTGTGCTTGAGGTTTTAGAAAGACAACTAGGCAAGAAAAATAAACAAAATAAATCCATATTGGAAAAGAAGAATAAAACTATTCTATTCAGAGGTGATGTGATTTTGTACATAAAACATCATAAGGAATTCACAAAATGTATCAGGACTAACAAACAAGTTCAAGAATCTCAAAAAGAAAATGGTAGTGGGAGAGTGGGAAGAGATTAACCAAATAATTTATATGCATATATGCATTACCTATGGACACAGAAAATAAGGCAGTGAAGGCTTGGGATAGGGCAGAAACCAAGAGGAGAGAGACAGTAGGGGGAAGGGGAGGATCACTGGTAATACTGTCAACAATAAAGATTTTTAAAAAAAATTCAGGGGCCAGAGGAAATGGCGGCAGAATAGACATATGTGTTCCCAGGCTTGTCCTGGAGCAGAAAGAAAGGACAGCTGAGGGTCACATGGGGAGTGTTTGTTGGCAATGTAAGGGACAGCTAAACTTCAGGAGAAGGTGGGAAACAGCTAGATGAGGTTCCCCTGACCGGACAGCCCCCACTGTGGCTGGGTCCCCTCCTGGAGCTACAGGCCCAGACATGGAGAACACGCCATTTTGAAAGGGAAAGTGAATCTTATTGTAAGCCTGAAAATCCACAACTGCAATAACCACTAAACAGCTGCAAACCCCAGAACACCTGTCCCCAATTGGCACAAACATGCGGATTCAAAGGGGCTCTTCACTCCACCACTGAAAGGTCAGATTTCGCATGGGATAACGAGAGAGAACAACATAACCAGACATCTGGAGAAGAGAGACCATGGGGAGAAAAAGAAATAGCCCACATATGAAAGAAAAGCAGGCATCACCAGAAAAGGAAGTAAACAAATTAGAGGCAAGCAACCTATCAGAAAAAGAATTCAGAGAAATGATCATAAGGTGGCTGAAAAGAATGGAAGGCAAATTCGAAAATATAGTAAGAACCAAGAGGAAATGAAGAAGAACCAAGAAGAAATGAAAATGACATCGCTACTGTTAAGAACTCAATAGAAAGCATCAAGAGTAGATCAGAAGAAGCAGAGGACTGCATCAATGAGCTAGAAGACAAGATGGGGGGAAATACCCAATTGGAGCAACTTCTAGAAAAACAAAATTAAAAAGCAGGAGAGCCTAAGGGAATGTTGGGACAACACAAAATAAAACTACATCTGCATAATAGCAGTTCCAGAAGGAAAAAAACTGAGCAAGGAATAGAAAACCTGTTTGAAGAAATAATGATAGAAAGATTCCCTGATATAGGGAAGAAAAAAAAACAAAAAAACCCACACAAATCCTTAGAAGCTCACAGACTCCCAACCAAAATGAACCCCAAAAGACCAATGCCAAGGCATATTATATTTAAATTGGCAGACACCAATGACAAAGTAATAATCTTAAAAGTGGCCAGAGAGAGATGGAAAGTAACATACAAAGGAAACTCCATCAGACTAGCAACTGATTTCTCAACAGAAACTCAACAGGCCAGAAGGGAATTGAATGAAATATACAAAGTCATACAAAGGAAGGGTCTGAATCCAAGAATACTACACCCAGCATGTCTATCAATAAAAATTAAAGGTGAAATCAGGAGCTTCACAGAAAAAAAAAAAAAAAAAAAAAAAAGACTAAGGGAATTTATCACAACCAAACCAGCAATGCAAGAAATGCTAAAGGGTATGCTGTAAAAAAATAAATAAATAAATAAAAGAAAGAACGAAAGAATGAAAGAACGAAACAAAGAAAGAAAGAAAGAAAGAAAGAAAGAAAGAAAGAAAGAAAGAAAGAAAGAGGAAGAAAGAAAGAAATAGAAAGTGAAGAAGGAACACAGGGGTATAGAATAAAAACGGCAACAAATAAGTACCAATGAATAATAACTTTAAATGTAAATGGATTAAATGCCCCAACCAAAAGACATAGGGTAACAGATTGGATAAGAAAACAAAAACCACCGAAACCGGTTTGGCTCAGTGGATAGAGCATCAGCCTGTGGACTGAAAGTTCCCAGGTTCGATTCCGGTCAAGAGCATGTACTTTGGTTGCCGGCACATCCCCAGCAGGGGGTGTACAAGAGGCAGCTGATCAATGTTTCTCTCTCATCAATGTATCTAAGTCTCTATCCCTCTCTCTTTCTCTCTGTAAAAAATCAATAAAATATATTTAAAAAAAAAAAAGAAAACAAAAACCATATATCTGCTGTCTACAAGAAAACCACCTCAGAAAAAAAGACACACACAGACTGAGGCAGAAGGGATGGAAAAACTTTTCCCAGGCAAATGTAAATGAAAGAAAAGCTGGTAGGCGAATCAAAATGAAAAAAAAAGAAAAAAAAAAAAAAAAAAAAAAAAAAAAAGCTGGGGTAGCAATGCTTATATCTGACAAATTAGATCTCAAAGCCAAAGGACATAACAGGAGATAAGGAATGACACTTCATAATAATAAAGGAAGCAATCCAACAAGAAGAAATAACTCTGGTAAACATATATGAACCCAAATACAGGAGCAAGCAAATACATAAAAAATAAACAAATAAATAAATAACCAACCAAAAAAAAAAAAAAACCCACAAAAACTGGAGAATATCAAGGGAGAGATTGAAAGCATTACATTTATAATAGGAGACTTTCATACCCCACAATCACCATTGGACAAATCCTATAAACAAAAAATCAGCAAAGAAACATCAACCCTAAATGAATCACTAGACCAGATGGAATTAATTGACATCTTCAGAACATTTCACCTCAAAGCCACAGAATATACATTCTTCTCAAGTGCACATGGGTCATTTTCAAAGATAGACCATATTTTGGGACATAGGTAAAGTTTCTTCAAATTCAAGAAGATAGAAATCATATCAAGCATCTTCCCAGATCACAGTGGCATAAAACTGGAAATCAATTAGAATAAAAACAACTCAAAGAAATAAGACACATGGAGAGAGATCCAAGATGGCTGCGCCGAGGTGAACACCTTGCCGCAGCCGCACACAACAATTTCAATAAAATAGAACTAAACTATAAAACGGACATTGCCCAGAACTACAGGAAGGTTGACTGACTGGAAATTCTTCAGCGAGAAGCAAGGAGAAAACCAGAAGGAGGCGCGGAGGAGCTGGAAAAGCCCAAGGTATGGAGACACAGAGCGCGGAGAGGACGAAGCCTGAGAGGAGGGAGGCCGAGTGCCTGGCAGGCATTCCCAAGCGGGAAGGAGATAAAACTCCGACTGTGCTGGGCCCCCGACTGCTCTGAACCCCAGTTTTAGGCCAGACCCCGGGGACTCAGGCTCAGCCATAGGGAGGTGGGCTGTAAGGCAGAACCCCGGGGAGAGGCGAAAGGAGGTCCCGGAGGCGCGCACACTGTGCACAGAGAAGGGACGGTCAGCTGTGCCATGGGATTGCCCTGACAGGAGGGAGACTGGGGCTCCAGACTGCTCTGAACGCCACCTCCAACTCCACTTCCAACTGAACTGAACCCCAATACTGGGCTCATTGTGGGAAAGCATAGACTGTTTGGCAGCAGGCGAAAATCAAGGGCACCTTTCTCTCAGAGGCGCCGGCAGCGAGCACTGAAGGACCCGCATTGGGCGGGGCTGACGGAAGCCAAAGCTGCAGGCTCCACCCTGAAACCCTGTCCCATCTGTAACTGTGAAATGCGACAACAAAATAGATCACAAACGAAAGAAATGGAGGACAAAAAGCGTCTGGATATAGAGTTCAAATCTACGCTTATAAGGTTTTTCAAGAATTTCCTAGAAAAGATGGATAAGACCTATGAGGACATGAAAAGAGATCAACTAGAATTAATAAGGAGTCAACAAGAAATGATAAGGGATCAACAAGAAATAAAGAATACATTGTCTGAAATAAAAAATATTTTACAGAGTCCTAAAAACAGAAGGGAAGATCGCAAGAATCAAGTCAAAGATTTGGAACATAAAGAGCCAGAAGATACTCCTCCACAGAAGCTAGAAGGCAAGAGAATCCAGTAAATTGAAGATAATGTAAGAAACCTCTGGGACAACTTCAAGCGAACCAACATCAGAATTATGGGGGTCCCAGAAGATGAGAGAGAGCAAGATATCGAAAACATACTGAAAGAAATAGTGACAGAAAACTTCCCCCACCTGGTGAAAGAATTAGACTTACAAGTCCAGGAAGTGCACAGCACTCCAAACAAAAGGAATCCAAAGAAGACCACACCGAGACACATCATTATTAAAATTCCAAGAGCAAAAGAC